CTCACCCCGCCCCTCCTCGCCTGGCCCCGCCCACCCTGCCTTTGCCCCACCCCCTCCCGCGCACGCTGGGGGGGCACCTGGCCGCCTGCTGGCCCAGCCGCTCCCTCTCCTCGGCCACCTCGCTGTAGAGCCGGCGGCGCTGCTGCTCCAGAGCCCTCTGCTCCTGCTCCAGGTGCTGCTCAAACCTGCAGGGACATCCTAGAATCACAGGGTGGCAACAGGGATGCGCTGGAAGTCGCAGGGAGGGGACAAGGTTGCTGGACTTTGGGGAGAGGGACACGGCTGTCTGGACATCACAGGGAGAAGACAAAGACACACAGGAGACGGAACTGGCTGGAGGTCGCAGGGAGGGGACATCCTGGGAGGGGCTGTGGCTGCACTGGGTACCACGGGGAGGATGCACCATCGGGAGGACACTGTCCCTGCCCGAGAACCAACTGGACTACGGCCCCTCCCCTGCTCCACTTGGACCTGGCAGGCCACCATGCTGGTCACAAAGCCACATGAGCGCAAACCAGCCCGGCATGGGCTCGCGGGCTGCAGGCAGAGTACCCAGAGCTGCCAGTACCACCGTGGACAGAGCCTCGAGCCCCGGAGCTGGGGCCCCCAATCCTCAACCCCCTCACCGGGCAGCTCCAGGCCTCTCTGACCGGAAGTGCTCACAAGGTCCATGCTGACCTCCCCCAGGCCGAGCAGGACGCGCGTACCGCTGCCGTGCCAGCTCGCGCTCCCGCTGCCCCAGCGCCTCCTTCTCGCGCTCCAGGCGCGTCCGCAGCTCCTCGGCCTGGCGCTCGCTGCGCTGGGAGGCCCTGGCGTCCGCCTGCAGCAGCTCCGCCTCATGCAGGCTCTTGAGTTTGCGCACCTCTTGCTTGTGCTGCGCGATGAGCTTCTGGATCTCGGGCTCCAGGCCTGTGGGATCACCGGGCACCGCGCTGAGAGGCCCCGGTGACCCCCAGCCTCGCCCTGCAGCGGCCCTGCCCCACAGTGCACACTCTGAGATCCCCGCCCTGGACATCCTGGCCCCGCCTGCGCTACAGAGACCCCTAAGGGGCTTTCAGCCTCCACCTCCTGTGGCCCCTCCCCTTTGACCCCTACCCTTGACCGTGATCTCCTTGATCTTCTTGGTCTTCTCGTTGACCCACTTCTCACGGCGGACCTTCTCTGTGGCACTCATCAGCTCCTTGAGCTTCCTCAGTTCCTGGGAGCGGCAGACAAGGGGTTGGCAGGGCAGACATGGGGAGCCAGGCCGAGAAGGACAACAGCACAGTCCCCTTGCCTAGGAGAAAGGGCTGCGGGGTCCACAAGGGTGCTCAGCGCCTGGACTCCGGGATGACGCAGGCCAGGGAGGCAGGGGTCAGCAGGCGCCCAGGACCACGAAGGTGGGCAGCCGGAGTAACAGGACCCGGTCCCTGAGGAGCCCCACTGGTCCATCTGCTCTGCTCTCAGTCACGAGTGACTTGAAAACGCAGCCCACACCCAGGCTGGGGAGGGTCAGGGCACGGAGATGGGGGTAACAGACAGCAGGGGGAGGGGGCGAGGTAAGCAAGATGACAAGGAGGGGGACGTGGAACAGGGCAGAGAGAGTGGAGTTTGAGAAAAGGAGGCAAAATGGGGTGCAAAGCATGCTGAGTGTTTGGAGTGACACAGGGAGGTCAAGGACAGAGAGGGACTGAGTGGGGACATGGAGGACTGAGTGGGGACATGCAGGGACTGAGTGGGGACATAAAGGACTTGGGGGGACATGGGGGACTGAGAGGGGACATGCAGGGACTGAGTGGGGACATAAAGGACTTAGGGGGGACATGGGGGACTGAGTGGGGACATGGAGGACTTAGGGGGGTCATGGAGGACTGAGTGGGGACATGGAGGGACCGAGTGGGGACATGAGGGACCGAGTGGGGACATGGAGGACTTGGGGGGGACATGAAGGACTTAGAGGGGACATGAAGGACTTAGAAGGGACATGAAGGACTTAGGGGGGACATGAAGGACTTAGGGGTGACATGTGGGGACATGGAGGGACTGAGTGGGGACATGGAGGGACTGAGAGTGGGGACATGCAGGAACTGAGTGGGGGAGACACAGGCCAGGATGGTGCTGGCCGGGAGACAGGCGTGAGGGAGATTCACCCGCTCGTGCTGCGTCTGCATCTGTTCTGCCTGCTGTTTCCATCTGAGGTCCCCCTGCCGCAGCTCAGCCACCACTGCCTCACATTTCTCCCCCAGGGCCTTCTTGTCCTCAATTAGCTGCAGCAGGAGGTGTCAAGAGGGTGAAACCCCTCTGCCACCAGACCCCCACTTCAGCCTGCCGAGGGGCCAGAGCCCCCAGAGAGGACCCTGCTGTGACTCCAGGCCCCACTGGCATGTGGAACTAGCCTGGGCAGGGGCAGGTGAATGTGGGTGCAGGCATCGGGGTTCCAGGGGGAGCGGCAGGTGGAAAGGTGAGGAGAGCAGGTACAGATGTGGCCTCCCCCACCTCTACCTCCTGGATAAGGGGCGAGGGCTTCCTAAGAGTGGCAGCCCAGGTGACATCTGAGAGCCCTGCCCTCAGGGGATGGACAGTGGTCACAGCTGACTCCGACCTGGAGGCCCTGTGGATTCTGGAGCCCCTCCGATGCCCATCCTATCCAAATAGGGCTGACCTGGTCAATGAAGGCCAGGTGCCGTTGGATGGTGGCCTCATAGTGCTCCTTCTGCTGCCGCAGCTGCCGGTTCAGCTCCTTCTCCGCCTCCTTGACCCTCCGTGCTGTGAGGGCCCGCTGCTGGGCCTGGGGGAGGGAGGGGGCGGAGGTCTGCAGGGCCAGAAGGGAGGGATCTTCCTTACCTGGGACCCAAGCCAGAGGCTGGCCGGCCTCTTGAGCACTCCTGAAGGGGGCAGGGGCTCTGGTGGCTAGAACTACATCCTCATCAAGAACCCTGGTGGTCTGGACCCTGGGAACAGTCTCAGGGTGGTGGCTGGAGCCCTTGGGGTGCTACAAGTCTTTGTCCCTCCAGGACCAGACTGCCCTCAAGCTACGGCATTGCCCACCAGCCCACTTCAGACAAAAGACTGCAGACCCCACCCTATGAGGCCCCTGCCCCACACCCAGGGCTGTGCTGCTCACCCCACTGAAACCTGTCACACCAGCATCCATTCCACTGGACGTATAGTGCCTGCTCCACCCACACCCAACTATTAATGCCCCCACTAGCACCCACATTCCCAATGTCCCCCTCAGCATCTCAACCAGCATCCCCAGCACTCCTACCAGGCCTCCTCCCTGCACCCACCCAGTGCCTCCCCCAGCACTCTTAACCAGGGCCTCCCCACAGCACCCCAACTAGCGCCTTCCCCAGCACCTCTCCCAGCACCCCTACCAGCGTCTCCCCCAGCACCCCCCCACGCTCCCCCAGCACCCCACCAGCGCCCGCTGCAGCAGCTCCATGGCCCGCCTCTTCTCCTCCACCTCCAGCTGCAGTCTCATCAGTGCCGTCGTCCCTGCCGATGGTGGCTCCAGGCTGGCCAGTTCCGTCCCCAGCATCAGCCCCTGTGGATGCCAGAAAGCCTGAGTGTGGGGGCAGCGAAGCCCCCAAGCGTGGATACTACTATTTACTGCAGGGGCCAAGGTCAAGGCTGTGATGGACAAGCAATGCTGGCTCCTGACTTCTGGACACTGGACTCACCGTCCACACAGTGTGATGCTGGGGCTGCCCTTCCCTGCCCTGCCCAGCACAGTCTCCTGGGACAAGTGAGTACACAGGGGACGCAGGAGGGGCTCCACTGCCCAGAGCGCCTCCTGCTGGGGCCCATCCCACTGGCCGGTGCCCCTCCTGCTGGGCCCTGCCTCACTGCCCAGCATCCCTCCCGCAGGGGCCCACCCTACTGTCTGATGCACCTTCTGCTGGGGCCCACCCACTGTCCAGCACCACCCCCCACTGGGGCCCACCCCACTGCCCAGCACC